AACTCTGATAGTGGGTTGGTTCAACCACATTTTCCAGGGAACCACCCCTTCTGTTCTTCCTATTTTGGGCCGATCGCTTCTTATACGTTGGGTCTGTGGCAACAATATCCATCATCTTCTTGTAGACTTCCTCACTGAGCCAGCCTGCTTTGCGCCATTCATCTTATGTGTGTCTGTGTAGAACATGTCACGTAGGCGAGTTCAAACTTCCTTTCAAAAGTTTGCTTCACATGCTTGTTCAATTGAGGTGCCCATGTGAATTGTTTCTACGAATGATAAACTTTAAAAGTTATAAACTCAACTCCATTAATACACTTAATAAAAACATGTATTAACTAAGTTAAAAATAGCATATGCTGAACAAGTTCCACCAGTGTTGTTTCGTTCCTTCATCAACCTCTCCATAATTCCTCCAAGGGTCTCGATAGTATCCAATTAGCGTACCGGAGACCACACACCTCACCTTGTTATCATCAAACCTACATTAAACGAGAAACAACAATGTTAGATGGTCATTAACAAAAAGTAATATAGAACTTGTTAGAAGTAATAAATAGGTTAATTTTTCGAAAATAAGAATATAAGTCCAATTCATTAAATGTACGTACTACCAGAGCGTAGTAGGGTCTATACCAGCAACTCTTAATGCTGATATGTCTGATTTTGTGGTTGGGTGAAGGCGGGCTCCTGAGTGGCACCAAAATCATGTGCCTCCGCTTCCTCCATTTCTTCGTCGTCGTCGTCGATCACCATTTGATCTTTCCCGTTCCCCTTTGTTTTCTTCGACGATTCTCCGTCTTTACCCCCTGCTATGACAGCCTGAAATAGTTGTTAGTAACATGACATGATATTATAAATTACAAGTATAGTGCAATGTAATAAAATTTTATACAAAAAGTAATGATTTATTATAAGACCAAGTCATATTTTGATTTTACAATAACAAGCAAATTCTTAAAGGAGATTAATATATTCTCCTATTCATTAATCTCATCACTACTATTATCTAATAGTACATCGATGTCATCATCCTCGTCACTATCACTAGAGTCGATGCTAGATTCATCATCTTTCATCGCTTGAGATAATAAAGCCATCGTCATCATCTTCATCATCATCATCTAGGACATAGTCTGGAATGTCATTCGGTGGACAAAGATTTGCATGTACTTGTGGGGATGGTGCCTGCAAAAACTCTAAGTCCACCGGAGCATCAACCACTGACCTTGCTTGTGTTTTAAACATAGCCCACCATTGAATTCGATCCCGTTTCAGGCTAGGGTATGATGCGTAGTTACTTGAGTCAGTTAGTAAGATAATACAAAGGGATCATACTTGGGGTATTTCTTAACATGATTTACTTCGACAAGCTTGTATTGTTCATGTATGTTCATTCCCCTACCACAATCCATCCAACTACACTTAAACAAAATAGTCTTGTACTCTTTGTTGGGACCAGTGTAGACAAGTTCAATTATGTCGTCTAAAGTGCGGAAATACTCTCCACCATCTTCACTTGATACACACACACCATAATTCATTGTAGATTTTTGCTTGTCATGGGCATGTGTATGGAAATTAAATCCATCGACAAAAATGTGCCTCTAAGTTCGAACACGCTTGAAAGGACGCATGCACAACGCTCGCCGGACATCCGAATTTGGTTTCTTTTCAACCATCTATCAACGTTTTTAATATAAACGTCACAATTCATGAAAAGAAAAAATTGAAGTGCAAGATGTAAAATTCATAATTATGTCACGGTTAGACCGTTTATATCACCTTGTGATGAAACCAATCAGAGAATTTAGCTTCGCATTTCTCCATGACTTCTTCTTTACGCAGATAAGGTTGAGTACTAAGAATGTAGTCCTCAAACTTCCTACGAGGTCAAAGACACGCGATAAATCAACATTGTAATCATTTTAATTGTTCATAACTTTGAATACAATTCATTCTTAAACATATTATACCTTTCGTATTCACCAAGAATGCAGCTGTTTCGTAACACAAACAAATGAGCACACTCGAGTTCTTTTTCATCTAAAAATCGATTTTTACCCTCATTTGACACACGACCGCTATCCACAGTGAACAACTCTAGTATTTCAACGATGTCCACTATAGAGTCCACGTCGGCATTCACATTTCGACCGAGATCTCGTGTTTTTGTGTCAAATGACGCCTGAAAGTAATTAGAGCAAAAGTTTGCTATCTCTTTGGTGAAATAAGCATTGCATATGGAACCTTCAACTCGAGCCTTGTTCCCAATTTTTCGTTTCAAGTGATTGAGGAACCTGCAATTATAGTTATATAAATGTATAAACAAGTCATGACAATGAATGGGATGTGAAAAAGAGGATGTGAAAGGGTCTTTGATTTACCTTTCGAAGGGATACATCCATCTATATTAAACGGGACCACATAACTTGCCCTCATATGGCAAATGAATAGGTAAGTGCTCCATGGAGTTAAAGAATGCAGGAGGGAAGACCTTCTCAAGCTTGCAAAGGATCTCTGCTATGTTTTTCTTCAATTGCTCCATGTCACTTACTGTGATTGTGTAGCAACACAAATCGCGGAAGAATTGGCTGATATCTGTAATTGCATTCCAAATATAGCCAAGAAGCAATTCTCTCAAAGCAGTGGGCAACAACCTCTCCATGAACACGTGACAGTCATGGATTTTCATTCCGTGTAGCTTACATGCTTGCAAATCTACGCATCTGCTCAAATTGGAGGCGTAACCATCAGGAAACCGCAGCTATTTAACCCACTCACACAAAAATTTTCTCTGAGCCTTGTCAAGAGTGAATGGAGCCTTTGGCATGAACTCTTTTCCTCTATCATCCTCCTGAAGATGAAGTTGTAGCCGTTTACAATATTTGACAATGTCATTTTGAGCTGGTGGCGTGTCACATGTATGCTTTTTCACATCCATTATAGTGTGAATTAACTAATCAAAGAAGTTCTTTTCAATGTGCATGACATCTAAGTTATGACGAATGAGCAGATGCTTCCAATATGGAAGCTTCCACAGTGTGCTTTGCTTGAACCACCCCTTTTTAACCTTTTAAAGGCGTTTAAGTGCCTCGGGCCCATCTGTAGCCTTCGGAAGGTCTTTCACACATTCCCACTGTTCCTCTCCTAACATGATGTGTGGAGGTGCACCTTTTTCGACTTTGTTTTTACAAAATGCAGTTCTACTATTCCGAAAAGGGTGATCTATCGAAAGGAATTGGCGGTGGCAATCAAACTAAGAAACTTTACCACCATGTTCGAGCCAAAATGCATTGCTTTTCTCCATGCAATATGGACAAGCCCTTCTTACCAGATGTGGTCCAACCAGACAACATACCATAAGCCGGGAAGTCACTAACAGTCCATAGGATGGCTACTCGAAGATTAAAATTTTGTTTCCTCGAACTATTGTAAGTATTTGCGCCAACTTCCCATAATTGTTTCAACTCTTTTATCAACGGTTGCATGTACACATCCAAGTTGCTCTTAGGGTTTTTTAGGACCAGGAACGAGTAATGAAAGGAACATGAATTGTCTTTTCATACACATTGAGGGAGGCAAGTTATAAGGGGTCAAAATGACAGGCCAACAAGAATATTGTCCCCTAAACTTACCGTGAGGAGCAAAACCATCTGTACACAAGCCAAGTCGAACATTATGAGGCTCAGAGGCAAACTCTGGAAAGCAACTATCGAGGTGTTTCCAAGCTTCATTATCACTAAGGTGTGCCATTATGCCTTGAACTCGAGGGTTTTTCGAATGCCATGTCATTTCCTCCGAAATGTTCTTGGTTGCAAAGAGCCTTTGCAACCTGGGTGTGATCGGGAAATAAAATAAAACATTCAAAGGCAATAAGCTACCTTTAGAAGTCTTCTTGTATCAGTCGCTGCCACACACCCTACATGTAGATAGCTGAGCATTATCCTTCCAAAACAACATACATCCTTTCGGGCATGCATGAATCATTTCATGAGGCAGCTCCAACCCCTTTACAATCGTCTTCACCTCATAGAATGTGTTGGCCATATGGTTGTTGTTAGGAATCCCTTCATTGGCCAAAGAAGCAAACCCATCAACACATCTGTGGGGCAAATTATACTCGCACTTTAGACTAGTAATTCTAGCAGCCATCTCTAACATAGACAATGAACTCCCTGCGTATAAAGGTTGTTCAGAAGCCTTCAACAAATCCAGAAAATGCTTGGCTTGTGCATTAGGCTCCTCCTCTAATGAAACACTAGCCTGTTCGGAACGCCCTTGATCTTGAGTATGACCAAAAGCATCAAAAACCATTTCACGATATTCATTGGACTGTCGTTCAGGAACTCCTGAAAACCCTTCCCCATGACACATCCACTCATAGTAATTAGGTACAAAACCCTTGCGATACAAATGAATTTTAACCGTTTTCGCATCCCAAAGCCGTTTGTTCTTACATTTTAAACATGGACACCTAACTTCATTCGGGTTACTACTCTTGGGATGATCTTTGACGTACTGAATGAGTTCATCAACCCCTTCACGAACTCTGGATTAATAGAAAGCCCAACCTTCCTTTCATACATCCAGCTACATTCTGTTTGTTTCATGATTACAACTTCTACACAACTCACGCATATGTATAATCACATTAGTCACAAAGTGTATTTAATATTCATTATCCATCAAAGTGTTATGAAAATGCAAATGAGATTTGAAATGATGTCCAAGGGTCCTTATAACTCCAACCTAACCTATCCTTGTACGTTTGATCCCACTAGTGAATGTCAGCCAGGTTTTCAATTCTATGGAAAATCCGGCAACATTTCCCTACAGTTCTCCAAGTACATGATGTAGGCGATTAGATACACCTACATATGTACCCAGAGAACAGTGTAGAGAAATGACAAGACATGATATTCCCTTGAATCAATAACAAGACATACATTCACCACCTAAGTGAGAATAAACGTACAAGGACAGTCCCAACCGGGGACTATCACTAGTAGAAAAAATGACAAAGGCACCCCACCTTTGGCACCGATTTTTGAAAACCGGTGGTTAAAAAAACGGGCGGGATTGGAAAACAAACTTTAAGCACCGGTTCAAACCGGTGCCAAATAAAAAAGATATTTTTTTTTAAAAAAAAAAAGGGAAAAATTATATTTGGCACCGGTTCATACCTAATCGGTGCCAAATAATGTATTACCACCGGTTCAAACCGGTGCCAATTAAAAAAGAGAAAAAAAAGGGGAGAAAGGGATTTGGCACCGGTTCGGTTCGAACCGGTGCGAAATCTATTGTAAAATAAAAAAAAAACCCGGATATACTCTTTCTTTCTATTGCTTTCATTTCCTCGATCTTTCCTCCCCTCTCATCTGATCTGCCTCTCTCTCTCCTCCATTGAAGCATACTCGAATTTCCCTCTTCGTTCTGCTCTTCTCTTTCAATTCCCTCCCATTTTCGCATATCCTGCTCTCCCAGCTTTCCTTCTCCGTTTTCGCATCTCCCTCTCGTTTTCGCATCTCCTTCTGCACTCCATTGAAGCAGCTCGCTCTCTCTCCATTGAATTGGTTTACGCGCTTTCTCACTCCATTGAAGCAGCACTTCCATTGAACCAGCTCTGGCCTCCATTGAACTCACTTCGAGGTAAGATTATTCTTGTGGTTGTGCGAATTCATTGATTTTCTTTTGCAATCTAGGGTTGTCGTTGATTTTCTGTTCAACTTAATAATTTTAGGGTTGTGGTAATATAGGGTTTGTCATTGAAGCGCGCACGACTACACCTCCACCCTAACAGCCTCCTTGTCACGGCTACACCTCCACCGATTCTAAGCTTTCCCACCTCCATTGAACCAGCTTCGAGGTAAGATGATGGTTTTACCTTTAGTTTGCCTGATGAACAATGATAATATCTAATAAAAAGGACTATAATGGACGGACTTGAATTTTCTTTACCTAAACTCCTTAAACTTGGTTGAAACGCTCTCTCTCCCCTGTAATTAGCAATTTAGCATTCCTTTTTGAGCAGCCTAAATGGCAATTATCATGTTAACACTTGGATATTTATCCTGTAGCTGCAAGCCTGCAATTTAATTCTCACATTGCTGTAAATGGCAATCACTTAGCTCATTTAGCAATTCTTATTACCTCATTTAGCTTCCCCTTGGCTAATCCACATGTCTTTTCAGACTAACCCTAGAGTGCCTGTTGTATATGCTGTTTTACATTCAGCAAAGTTTTCTAGTTTTTTATTGCACATCTGTTTGAACTTTGAATGCATCAATGAGTAAATTTAAAATGACATTGAAAAGTAAACTACATTCCTCGAAAAGTAGGCTAGATATGTTTAAATGTAAACACTCTGCGGAAGTAACTGAAGAAATGGAGAGGTGCAGAGAGTCTGCCCTTGAGAGGAGGAAGGCCATTGAGTAAGAAAAGGAATGTTTTCAAAAAGCTGTTTTGTTGTTCTGGACATGCTGAATACCAGAGAGGGCAGACAAGATGATTAGTAACATCTCTTTCATAGACCTTTATCAGTTTATCATGTCTAACTATGATCATTGTTATTTCATAGACCTTTGTACTCATTAGTCACTTCCTGCTTCTTCTGCTGTGCAGGACTTGGTTTGTTTCTTCTGGCTATTTGTATGATTTATGCAGGTAGTTGGAATTATGTAATGGGGGGGGTAGAATCTTGTGCTGGGTGAGAACTACACAGACGGGAAATTTTTGTACATCATTCTGATTGCATTTCTTTATTTATTAGGTGTAATGATCATGGAGAACCACTCCCTCCTAATGATCAAAAATATGTTATTGACAATGTGCTGAACTACCATCCTGATAAACGGATAAAATTGGGGCTGAAGTTAATTTTATTATGGTAAGCTATACATAGCTCTTGCTATTGAAATCCTTTTTTATTTTTTTTATGAAGTCTAAATAACTTCTAAAATCTTTTCATATTGCTATATGCAGGTTAAAAAGCATAGCAACTTCCAAGAAAGTCGTTGCTTTTATGTCGTTTTAATGGATGGGCATAATGTGGACTTCTCATACATCAAGTGCTTGGAGACTTATGTTAAGGGAAAGTACCAATCAGTTGCTGAGTCCTTCATGTCCAAGTATTTTAGAAGGCCTCGTTCGGGAGGTAATCCCTCACCTACAAGTCCCTTGCCCGCAAGCCCCCCATCACCAAGTCTAAAAGTAGATTGAAATTGTTAAAGTAATTAAGATCATTCTAATAGTAGATTGAAATTAGTTAAAGTAAATAAGATATTTCTAAAAATAGATTGAAACGAGATCCACCTTCTCTGCTTCCAGTTTAGGTTCAGTTATAAGAAATTTTGGTGCTCTTGGGTTAAATTCTCACTCTTCTTTAATGTCCACATCAGCTTGCTGCATCTCAAAAATCTCTTTAATTTGTTGCAGCTGTCCAAGAGCTCTAGTTGCTATCAAATCCTCTTTCGTGGGAAATGTGTTTCCTGGCCTCTTGTATATTGATTCCGATGACAGGTGCAATTGCTTCTTTTTTCCTATGGTATTCTTGTGTTTCTGATTTTCCTACATTATCAACATTACTTATTTACATCTGATTAAAGCTCTACTTTATCAAAATACATATGTATGTGCTCTATGGTATTGGTCTGATCTTATGTCTTGGACTTGTTGATGCTTTTTGCATATACTCGGCTGTGTATAATGTGTTCGGAACTTGTTCTTATGTGTTTACAGGATTTAATGTGGAGACTGTGGAATACAAGAACATCAGCTTTACCGTGTGGGATGTCGGAGGTCAAGACTAGGCAAGTCCCGTCTACTTTATTTATCTGATATCATCATGTGTTGCTATTTTTTAAGTCTTATATTGAATTCTTAATTGCATGGCATAGACATATCTATAATTTACTTTTCCTTGAGGCCTAAATATTACCTTTTGAAGTTATGCTCAAATGGTATAGCAACCGTTCCTCAATGACATGATTTTTGACTCCATGTTTTTGCTTATGTGGTCAGATCATCTACATTAGTTGAGGGGAGAGATTGAACAGGATTAAATTTATTACCTTGTCATTTCGATATGTTTAGACGCGGTAAATCAATTTAGAGATTTTCCCTGGTTTCCCTTTTATTCACTAGTGTATTCCTCGTGTTGAAATTGTGTCCAAATCACTGCAACCTTTTGACGTTTTTCCACTTTTTCGGAATTTTAAGTGCTCTATTGCAAGCTTCACCGAATGACTTTGCCTGGTAAATGGCTTCTGGAATGCTAAATAACCAGCACCACACTCATGTAACCATTTGCCTTCACAACACTGCTCGTTATTGTTGACGGTTACTATGTACAAGTTCTGCTTTGGCTGCTCACTGAATTTGATTCTGCTCCACTACTCCTTCCCTTAACGGTTCCTCCTGCCCTGTCCTGCTCCTTCTTGTGTATGTGATTGAGTCGTTCTGTTTTCTCAAGGCATTCGTTACATAAAATACCAATCAATATGTATTGCAAATCTATCAGAATGTATGCTATGCATTTTCGTTAGCCTCTCTGCTCTTTGTATTTAAGTTCATGTCTCTTGACAAATGTAGCTCTCAAACACACAAGATTTCACTTAAATACCAAACAGCCTGTATTATTGATCTCTTAGAATGTATGCCTAATTTTTTCAATTGTAAGAAGGCTAGAATACTATTTGTTCTTGCGATTCAGCTTTGCAATATCTGTCACTAAAAAGAATAATGTCTTATATAGAACTTTAAATTTTTTTGAATAAAGGTGTAAATTTGACAGGTTATCATTAAATCCAGATTTCCGCTTGCAAAAAAGTTGTATTGGAAAGTTTGTTGAACATCACCAGGGTGGACCCATTTTTTAATATCAGAACACTGAACATTAAGCTAGAATCAGGCCACATAATGGGGTATGGACTGAAATGCTATGTTTTCCTAAGAATTTCGATGCAAATACTAGTAATTAGTTTAGCTGTACTCACACAAAATTTTTATCATCTAACTATATGTGAACAAACAGGCTATAGAAATGTTTGTAAAGCTAATTGTGTGCCAGTTGGCTTCTTTTTCGCAGCATGAAGACAATACAAGGTATCTAGCTTTAAAATTGTGATCTGTGATAATATTCTCCTTTGCAGACACTGTAACTCCTGCTGATGTTGGTCTGAAAGAGGAGAATGTAGATGATGACCGAGGATATGGTCTTTCTTTGCTGAACCCATTCAACCGAGCACCTAGATGGGCCCAACCTATAACATATCTGGATATCCATGAGTCTGACACCTTTACATTAAGGCCATATGCCCATATCTCCTTTTCTGTATTACTTTCAATGTCTCATGTGCGATCAACTTATTCATGCATCTTTAACCTGGAACTCCATTCAAGTTGCATTTCATAGTTCAAATGCATAAAACTTCAAATGTATATATATTTGTTTATTTGTTCAAATACATAAAATTTCAATCATAGTTATTTTTGTTCATCTGTTCAAAGTGTAAAACTTCACATGTAATTATTGTACCTGCCTAGCTAGTTGACTCATTCTTTCCTGTGATTCATTACATCTGTTCAAATTGTAGAACTTATTAATATAGATTATTTGAGGTGGTGCTTCATTTGTTTAAAGATTTAGTCATGAATTCATGTTACTAGTTACCAATCATTGCGGACTAGTTTTGTGCTGTCATTATGTTGTAGTGCTTCAACTTAATGATGCAGGATTCATTGCATTAGCATGAATGTGTTAGTACTGACAGTCCAGTCTCCACTTAGCGCTGACATCCTAATATAAATATGCTAGATGTGCATATTTTGCTTTCCGACATCTGCAGTCATTCCTCTGCATGATCATCCTCGAATGACAGTCTTCAGCAAACTTCTGTATGGATCCTTGCATGTGAAGGCTTATGACTGGGTTAAACCTCCACAAGTTATTCAGAGCAATGGCTCTGAGTGCTCTCAAGGTACAGTAAAAAAATTGTTTAATATATTTATCTATTTTTTATTTTAGTTTTTTGGGGCTGAAGTTACATGAATTACCCAGTTGGACCTAACACTGCACCGTCTGCATGGGCCTACAATGGAACTGGTAAAACTACTGCTATCAATTGCTTGACTGGAATTTCACCAGTGACCAGTGGAGATGGTAACAGTTTGTTTGAGAATCTGTCCTTTCTGGTTTAAATTTCTGTTTTTCATGATGTACTAGTCAGCATTCAACTGAAGTCTCAAGTGTTTTTTTTTTTTTTTAGTTTTTTAAAGTGTAATATTACAAGTTATTGAAGAAAAAATATGTGTCTTATGTATATTATGATTATATATAAGTATTTGGTACAATTTAAGTGAAAAAAATGCAAAAAAAAAAAAAAGTTTTTTTTTTTTATTTTTTTTGAGCATTTTTGGCACCGGTTTTGGAAAAGAACCGGTGCTAAAAGTTTTTTTTTTTTTAATTTTTTTGGGGACTTTTGGCACGGGTTCTAAGTCAAAACCGGTGCCTATTGTATTGAAATAATAATAAAAAAAAAGCGCTCCATGGGTAATTGGCACCGGTTAACTGATGCCAAAGAGTGTATTTAGCACTGGTTAATCGGTGCCAAATCTTTAAATAGCCACCGGTTTTGAACCGGTGCTAAATCTTTAGAGATTTGGCATCCCTCAAATACTCAACGGTTCAAAACCGGTGCCCATAGGGTGGTTTGAACCGGTGCCTATTTATGTTTTCGCCTAGTGTATTCAAGACATACTCCTAATGTGTATGCCTTGAACGGGTATCTAGGCATATGATTATGCAAATGATTCATTTACAAAATATATAAAGTAAAGGGCACATGCGTTATATTAAACAAATATATCATAATTAAACTAAACTAAACAAATATATTAAACAATTATGAAACATTATATAAAAAAAATATATTAAACTAAATAAACTAACATACATTATATTAAACTAAACTAAACTAACATATATAGTAAACTAAACCAAACTAAACTAACATATCATAATGCAACACATACATTTCAAATATTTCAACATATTTAAACATAAAATACAACAAACAAGTATACATTACACTAAAAACAATGATAAACTAACATATATTTATATACAATTAGTCACTAACATGCCATGTATAAACTAAACTAAGAATTTTAGGGTTTTTAATGTCACTAACCTCTAGATCTTCACTTTTAATTGACAATCAAACCAAGTGAATCTATAAATCCTACAAATAATTACAATTAGAAACTTATGAGGGTTTGCAATTAATTAAACAACTTAAATTGAATTAGAAAACATGGGAGAAACAACGCAGTAAGGGTAGAGGAGGATTCGGTGGTGGCTACCCGGAAAACGGCCTTCATGGAGGATTCGGTCAGTTTTAATTATTTTAATAAATAAATAAATAAATAAAGGTCGAGGCTTACCGATTACACAACGGCGGGAGGATGGAGGTGCAGCGACGACGGAGGAGGTGGATCCTGTAGAAATGGTGATGGTGGTTAGGGTTTAACAGAAAAAATAACCAAATACCAAATTTATTAAACTTACCAATCGGCGGCCCAGGGGTCACAACGCCGCGGCGGCGAGACACCGGTGGTTGCGAGGAAGCGGCGCCTCTTGAAACTTCGCCCCCTTTTCTCTTTCCCTTTCTCTTTCTCGTTCTTTCGTCGTTCTCTCTCTTACCCTTATTCTTTCTCGTTCCATTTCACACGGCGGCGGTGGCGGCGGGACGCCGGTGGTTGTCGATGTGAAACTTCACCCCATTTTCTCTTCCCTTTCTCTATCTCTTTCCCTTTCCGCCGTTCTTTCTCTTCCCCCTATTCTTTCTGGTTCAACAAATGAGTAGATCTAAACTCGTTATTTTTGTTTAATTAAAGACTTTCCGATGGAATTAAATTCTGTCGGAAACTAGACCTTCTGACGGAATATTCCGTCGGAATATTTTGATGGATTAACATTCATCGGAAATTTCGAATTTTCTGACGGAATTTTAGGTCCGTCGGAAAATGCCCTTTTTCTAGTAGTGTTTTGAATGAAATACTTTCCGACGAAATTTGTTTCTGTCAGAAATTAGTACTTCCGACAGAATATTCCGTCGGAATATCCATTACGACAGAATAATCCGTCGAAAGTACTAATTTCCGACAAAAAAATTCTGTTGGGAAATTTCCAAGGGATATTCTGTCGGGAAGTACTTTTTCCATCGGAATTTTCCTATGGATTAAAAAGTCATTGGAAAATTCGAATTTTCCGACAGAATTTTAGGTCCGTCAGAACAATTCTGTTTGGAAACGACCTATTTCTAGTAGTGCTAAACAGGGAGTGGAGTAGTCTAGAGAGGATCCAATCAGAAATACTAGTAGTAGGTATCGAGCCTATGACCGATCAATGAGCCCTGAGGAGGTTAAGAAGGAGAAGCTCCTAGTGATCCCTAAGGATTCTCCATTATGTAGGGAGTACTAAAGGAACCAATGGAGAAGATCAAAATGCCCTCTTGCAAGTATAACGGCACAACGACTCCCAAGAATCATCTCTTTGCCTTCGAAAGCCACATGGTTCTTTACGCCCGAACTGATTCAGCTGGTGTAATGCCTTCCCCCCTCCCCTTTGGAAGGTCTTGCAGCTGAATGGCACCGCTTGCTAGAAAAGGGGTCAGTCTACTCTTACAACAGGGTTAAAAGACCGAACTAAAATGACCTCGGAGCTAATGTCACTTGAGTAGGGAGACACTAAATCCCTTAGGGTTTTCATCACCAGATTCAACAAGGAAGCGTCTTCAATCACCCACATGAGCTAGGAGGTAGCCTTGTTGACCATGAAGAGCGGCTTGTTGCCTGACTCAGCGTTCAGAGAGTAAATGGGCAGGAGGAATTTAAAAAACTTTGGCTGAGGCTTTGGGTAAAGCCCACGAATATATTAAATAGGATGAAACAGACAAGGCCATGTTGGCCAATAGATCAGTCATTGCGAAGCAGGGTAAGAAGCTGGATCAGAGCCATGTTGAGACCACTGAAAAACTAGATTAGAATCCTATTAGGGTGCACAGGTTAGAACAGCAGAAGAGATATAATGATAAAAATGTAGGGCAGAGAAGACCATGATCCGGAAGAGGATGCCTAGTAGTAAGATATGAACATTTCACACCCCTCACCTACGCTCGTTCACATATCTTGAATGTGAACAAGTACGATGATAAGTGACAAAAACCACCAATAATGACTGCTCTTGACTTAGATGAAAAAAAATGGTGTGATTTTCACAAGGACAAGGGTTACACAACTAAAGAGTGTATACACCTAAGAGATAACATAGAGGACCTCATCAGGCGAGGCTATCTGAGCTAGTTTAAGCAGTATGTAGGCTAAGACAAAGCAGGGGGAAATGATAATCCCAAAAACGAGCTATGGAGGGATAACAAAAATTACAGAGAAGGATAATGACAAGTTTGAGCAAAGGGAAAACTTAGTGATAAGTGGAGGGCCTCTGCATGGACTAGGCATAATCAGCCGAGCTAGAGCTAACCTTAGAGATATGGTTCATCATGTGAATTACAATAGGCGTAGGAAATAGGCACCACCACCCCTTCAACCATGGGTAGTGTTTGATGAGCAGGTCTAGAGGGGAATCATCTACCCTCATGACGATCCCCTGGTGGTAACTATCAAAATCGCCAATTGGAAAGTTTGAAAAGTCTTAGTAGACGGAGGTAGCTTAGAAAACATCCTATTCAGGAGGCTTTCCACAAGATGAAACTTGATGTTAGATATCTCAGATGGGTTAGTTAAGAAGTTAATTGATTCAACGAATTTGGGGTGATCCCCGAGGGAATCATCGAGCTGTCAGTCCAAATAGGGGAAGATTCCAATGTTAGAGACATAAGGGCAAAATTTTTGATCGTCAATCCCAGTCTCCTTATAATGTGATAATGGGGAGACCCCTCATCCACAAAATCAATAGAGTGATCTCGATGTTTGTAGACACCTAATTGTGTTTCTCTAAACACCAAACCAAATGATGAGTGACTTTCATGATTGTTATCGACAAGTTCGGCAAAGAGTTGAAAGGTCACGCAAAGTTTCCTCAAACCTAGACCATCTTTCTAACCATACTCAAAATGTAATTACATCCAAGAAGATTCATTTTGTGTCATTAAACCCATAAAGATTCATTTCGTGCCTTTTAGCCAAAAAAAAAAAAAAAACCTTTTTCGTGCCTATAACCTTAAAACATCCAACCTGATTATTTTGGTCCATCTCCTTAGTCCAATAATTATTTGGATGGATGGGGCTCGAAAAGAGCTTTCCAACGTTTTATGTTGGGTTTTGCAGTGTCCGACACCGCGAAGAAACAAAACCCGCAAGGATCGCATGCATAATTAATACAACAAAACAAACTAACATGCAATTATTAAAAGTGATAAACGCATAAACACATAAAGAGGGAGATAGAGAAAGTAAGGAAAAGACTTCCTTACCCTTGAAGCGTGCTTCTCACGAACCTCGAGCATGAACATGGAAAGCTCTAGACCCGCAAGTGCAAATCCTTCTTCTTTGCACACCCACACACTTGAACGGGTCCCTACCTCGTAGCTTAGACAAGGCTAGGCCAAAAGAAACTAGAGTATTACGAACTTAAAAGCTTTTTCACGCTTTTGAGAGATACCTTATTAAGTTAAACTCAAGTGAGTAATCCCAACTTCCAAGGTTAGTATTTATAGGCAAAGGACCCTTAAAACCTCAATCTTATTTCTATGTGGGAGAAATGATAAGTGAGAAAAATAAGTAATTAATTTAATTCTAAATTATATAAATACACAAATCACTTAGCAAACAACAAGTGGCAAGAGGAGAGGAAGGGTAGGTGAGGACCATAAGAGGAGGACCACAACTCCCTTTCTCCCCTAGGCAAACCCACCTCACACAACCGGCCTAACCATCTCCCGTCAGCTAGCGCTCGGCCGTGGGCACCAAGGCTGCCTCACTGGCAGCCAGGTCCCTTGGATGGGCCTGCGAGCGGCCAATGGCTAGCTGCCCACACAAGCAGGCCTTGCATGGCTATGCGGGCTGCTGTGCGTGGCCTTTCCATGCTGCAGGCTGGCTAACGCTAGCAGCAGCTAGCGAGGCCCAGCACGCTAACATGCGGCTAGCCTTGCTAGCACTGCTAACACGCTGGCTCGGCAAGCAAGCACCCACATGGGGTTGCTGTGCTTGCGGCCTAGCTGGTGCCTAGGCTACCAGGCCTTAGCAGCCTAGCCCTCGCATGACTAGGCCAATG